TATGTCATCATGTGTTTTAACAGTCAGTTGTTGTTTGCTGTTGTTGCTTCTCTGTCCAAAGGACTCTCTTTAGCATCTCTTGTAAGTTGGTCTGGTTTTAACAAATTCCCTTAATTTCTGCTTATCTGGAAATGTCCTAATTTCACCATCATATTTGAGGGACAGTTTTTCTGGGTATATAATTCTTGGTTGGAAATTTTTTTCTTTCAGAGTTTTATACATACCATTCCATTGTCTTCTCCTCTGCATGGTTTCTGCCAAAAAATCAGAGCTTAGTCTTATTGGTTGCCCCTTTTAGGTAACTTTTCATTTTTCCCATGATGCTTTCAGGATTCTTTCTTTTTCTTTGGTTTTGGTGAGTTTGATGATGATATGTCTTGGTGATTTTCTTTTGGGGTCTGTCCTGTTTAGGGTTCGTTGGACTTCTTGCATGGATATATTCTCATCTTTCATTACATCAGGGAAATTCTCTTCTAACAAATCTTTGACAATTTTCTCTGTGGTTTTATTTGTCTCTTCCTGTTCTAGAATTCCAGTTACACATAGGTTTTTCCTCTTGATGGTATCCCACATGAACCTTAGGCTTTCTTCATTTTGTTTTGATCTTTTTTCTGATTGATCCCTTTCCAAAGAAGTATTGAGGCATTTGCCTTCAATCTCAATAATTCTGTCTTCCATTGATTTGATTCTACTCCTTTGCCTGTTCAATGCGTTATCTATTTCTGAAAATTTAATATTAATCTTCTGGATTTCTATCTAGATTTTGTATCATTTCTAATTTTTCATTTATTTTGTCATTTTGTTCTTGTGTTGTCTTTCAAAATTGTTATAGGGTTTTGTCTGTGTTTTCCTCAATTTTATCAGTTTTTTCCTTGATCTGTCTCTCAATCTGTTGAAGGTACTTAAATGCAATTCTTTTGAATTCCTTATTAGGGAGTTCCAATGTTGCTTCTTCCTTAGGGGTATGTTTTGGGTCTGTATCTTGGTCCTTTATTTCTCTTGCTTCTTTTTGTATTCTGTAATGCTCTGTTGTCTCTGAGACATTGTGACGTTGTTGTGTTTATATTTAATTGGTGATTGTATATTGGAGTGACTAACCCACGATTTTTGTTTTCTTTGGGGATGTTATCTACATAAGCAGGGTACTGTGCTCCTTTACTCACTAGATGGCGGCACTTAAACACTCACCACTTGTATCCTTTCCAGTTGTCAGCCTTCCATATGTCCCCGCTGTCCTTGGCAAATGGAGCCTATTCTTACTTAGGTCCCTGGAATCCGAATGAGAATACTGTCACTTTAAATATCCAAAATGGCCACTACTTGTAAACATTCAAAATGGCTGCACCCTTGGTCACTATAAATATGCAATATGGCCATCGCTTGTATACAATCAAAATGGCTGTGCCCTCTGGACAGCCAAAAGTCCACAGCTCGGGTTGTCTCCCTCCTTGCTGTTTCCCTTCCTAGTCATAGGCCACCAGTGCAGTCATCCCTGCATCCCCTGGTGATCAGGGCTGATCTTTAGGTCAGTTCTCAGGTCCTAACGCCACTTGGAAATATTTAGGCTGTTGGTGCCATCAGAGTAGGTGACAGTCTGCAGCTCCATTCATCTCTGTACTCACTGTTTTCATTCAGGTTTTTCCACTAGTTGGTGCCTAATCCACTTCTGTATACTTTCTTTCAAAGCTCAGGGCTCTAGGATTATCTTCTGAATCTCTGTCGATTGGTTTATCTTTTCTTTGTTGAAAAGGGTCTGTGTAGCTTGTCTGCCTATTCTGCCATCTTACCGGAAGTCTACCTAAAATCTCATTTTTATAGGCTTCACTGTTCCCAGGGCTGGGCCCAAATCATGTCCCTCTCTGCAGTCTTTCTTTTTTCAACCATAAACTCATCTAATCCCACTCCACTGCCACCAAGTTGATTCCGACTCATGGAGACACTATAGGACAGAGCAGAAGTGCCCCATAGGGTTTTCAAGGCTATAAATCTTTATGGAAGCAAACTGCTTCATCTTCTCCTGTGGAGTAGCTGGTGGGTTCAAACCACCAACTTTTTTGTTAGCAGCGGAATGCTTTAACCACTAGGTTACTAGAGCTCCTTTAAGCTTGTCTTAGTGGATAAGAACTTGGTCTGTGGAAGCAGATCTATGTGGGTTGAGCTCTGGCTCTGGGACCTTATTTATTTTTAAGTGTCTTTGCCCCCTGGGCCTTAAGGTCTCATTTTTGGGGATCAAAGCAGCACTCCTAGCAGTTCCTACAATTAGCTGGCTACTACCACAAAGCACACACAGACAGGCCCACACAGTATGGGGTAGGAGATAGAACAGGGCCTCGGACTCCTCAGACTGAAGGGGGATCCTGATGCTGAGGGTCCGTGGCTTTGATACCAGAACTGACTGACTCTGAGTTTCTTCCTGTGAAGACTGAATGAGATGAGTGTGTGAAAGAACTTGGAAACTTGAAAAACACTCTGCAAATGTCACTTTTCATGGTCATCTCTTATCAACAGTCCCCAGGGACCTCCCACCTGCTGCCTCTTTCAGACCTGCCTGCAGGAAGATGGCCTGGACTTGGCCTCTGCCAAGTGTTCTTTAATGTATGGAATTGGCATGGCTTGAGAGATGAAGACACTGAGCCACAGTGGGTCCCCTCAGGTCTCAGCCTCCTGCTCCTGGGCTGAGCCAGGCCCCATCAGAGAGGTCCCTGCCGTGTCCACATGCAAGAATGCCACCCTCAGTGACTTCCTTCTGTCCTCTCTCTGTCTTCAGGACACAGTGTGGACCCTGGACTGGCTGGTCTGCTGGGGCGCCAGGCACCGCACCCCAAACAGCCCTTCATGGTCACTTTCTTCAGGGCAAGCCCTAGTCCTGTCCGAGCCTCACGGGCAGTGAGGCCACTGAAGAGGAGGCTGCTGAAGAAAACCAACGAGCTGCCACAGCCAAACAGGCTCCCGGGGATCTTTGGTGAGGTTCAGGGCTGGCCAGGTTCTGAGGTCTGGCTGGCATTGGCTGAGAGAGGCTGTGCAGGAGCCAGGGGGTGGGACAGAATGCTTTGGGCCCTCAGGACAGCTCAAGCGACCAGTTTCTCTCCTGCCACCTCTCCTGGCGTTGGCTTTTGCCCCATGCATCTGAGTGATTGGCCACTTCCCTCTCTCTGACTCACGGCCTCTTCCACCAGGAAACCCTCCTGTCTGCCCTCACCTGGCTTCTTCAGGAGCCATGCCCAGAGCGCAGTCAGAATCATTAGCCCCTTCCTTTGGGTAGCCTTGTGACCCTTGGTTCTTTCGTGGGCACCTTGCAGGATCCACAGTTGTCTATGGAAAGGTCACCCCACTGGACCAAGCCTCTCAGGGTCAGGGATAAACCTGACCTGCCATGTTCCCCACTTCATAGATGCTGCTCTTGGCTGGCTTCTGCCAAGTGCACTTGAATGTATGGAATGGACATGGCTTGAGAGGATGGGGCTGGCAGTCAGATGATGTCTCTGGAGGAATAAGGATGGGCTTGTCCTCCACCCTCAGGGTCCCTAAGGGTCCTCTTTGGCTCTTGACCCGGGGAGGGGTGAGGCTGAGTGTGGGTTGACTCTGCAGCAGTCAGGAGCCATCAAAGGTTCTGGAGCTGAGTTGTGGCATGAGCTGAGCTCCAGGGTTGGGCTTTAAGAGGCCAAATGGTTTAGTTCCTCATCGTTTGTTCATCCAATGTGCCCATCAAACCTTCCTCCTCCCTGGGAATCCCCTGTGGTAGCTGGACAGAGTCAGACCTAGAAAAGACTTTGCATTCTCTGTCCCTGCAGATGCCATCCACGGCTCCGGCGGGCGGCAGGTATGCCGACGACATGAGCTCTACGTCAGCTTCCAGGACCTCGGCTGGCTGGTAACTCCTGACCTCCCTCCTTTCTTAATTGACAAACCCCACCTTTGAACCTAAGTGTGACCCCAGGGAGGGGTAGGACTATGGGTAATTTTTTCTTTTTATTATGTATTTTTGTCTTCAATAGTTTTCAAGGTTTCTGTAGTAAGAATGTGCTATTTTTATAATGAGAAACATTATTATTATCGTAAAAATTATGAAAATGGTTACTCTCTGAATCCTCCACCCACTCATTACCATCAAGTCATTTCTAGCTCATAGCAACACTTTAGGACAGAGTACAGTTGCCCCATCAGGTTTCCAAGGTTGTAAATCTTTATGGAAGCAAACTACCTCATCTTTCTCCTGTGGTGTGGCTGGTAGTCTTGAACTGCCAACCTTTTGATTAGCAGTTGAATGTTTTAACCACTGTGCCATCAGAACTCCTCAGCCAACTGGAATATCAGAGCTGCTTCAGGGAAAGTGAGGCATGGTGGGTAGTGCCTTGTGTGTTTGTTGCAGTGGGAGCTAGAAGATGTGTCCATTGAGTGTGTCCCCCTGTCCACGGAGGGTCTTTGGGGGATTTCAGGCCTCTGGGGCGGTGGTGGGACCCGAGAGTGTTTATGGGCCCTTAGGCTCAGGGAGGAGCATCCCTGAGTCATCCTGTGATGCTGCTGGACCCAGGGGCTCAGGAGGGGGCACATGGTGGACTCACTCACCTTTTCCCTCCCCCCCAGGACTGGGTCATCGCCCCCCAAGGCTACTCGGCCTATTACTGTGAGGGAGAGTGCTCCTTCCCACTGGACTCCTGCATGAATGCCACCAACCACGCCATCCTGCAGTCCCTGGTCAGTACTGCACCCTTCCTGCCTGCACACTGTGTCGGGGTGAGGCACTGATGGGAGGGGACTCGTACAGCCAGCAAGTGAATGAGAGTGCCTGCTCCAGGTCTTGGCAAGTTTTCTTTGTATGGAATGTGCACATGGAGTGAAATTCACACACATACAGAGTACACATGAACCAACTGCATCGCAGACATAGACTGAAAATCTGAGTATGTGGTCTATGCACTGCATACACACATGGGACATTCATGGACTTACCTGGGCACACCTCCATGTGGTCAAATTCATAGACATATGTAACAGACATGCACACCCACCTGAGTACCCCTGTGAACGTATCACACATCTGCCCACACACATGACGCGTGCTGCCCTCTGGTGACGCATGTATGTGCAGCGTGCACTGTGCGTGTGCCTCCTCTCACCTTCCGTCATGGTGTGTGCCCGCATTGTCAGGGTGTGGCGGTGATGCATCTGTGGGCTGTGGCTCTCAGCTCCTTGGTTGCCTTTCATTTGAGCTTTTCTCTGGTTCCTTTCCCGGCTACTAGTGTTTTCTACAGACTGGATGCCTTTCGATGTTCCAGTGTCTGAGGGAACTTTATAGGCTTGAATTTTTTTCTGTCAGAACATTGTTGTTGCTGCTTATTGTTAAGTGCTTTCTGTGTTTGTTGATTCTGGTGTTGCTATGTCTTCCTAGAACTTCTTAGCTGGAATACTAGTTCCTAGTGTCCCGGAGCCTTGTTTTTTCTAGTAAGAGCTTGTTTAAAGGGAGTGCCTTAGACTGAGGCCAAATGAACTGACAGAAGCAGCTCTGATGTTATGACAATGCTTATTTTCCCAGTGGTCAGATGGGGTTTGCTGGGCACCTGGAAGCCAACTTCCTTTGGAAAAGCTCGGGTGTGGTATTAAGACAGGTGTGGAGCAGCCCTGCCCAGCCCGTCCTCTGTGTGATGTGCGTCCCTCAGCCCCTTTGAGGGGAGATCAGGGGTGATGATCCCACCTGCACCTCCCAAGAATCTGTCCCCTCCGCTCGGCCCCTGCCACTACCTTGGCCTAGACCCTCAGCTCCTCCTGGGGCGTCAGTCACAGACGTGAGTGCTCACCATGTATACAGAGCAGCAGACAAGACAGCCCCTGCCCACTGGGACTGCTGTCAGTGAACACAGAGACAAAGGGGACTCGATGATGCCTTCTGTGGGGAAAGGGAGGTGGTCCCCTCTCCAGAGGGATACTGGGTGGGGCCTCTGCGGGAGGAGGAGCACGTCAGTTCCTGGAGGGAGAATGTTCCAGGCAGATGGAATAAGTGCAAAGACCCTGTCTTAGTCTGGGTTCTCTAGAAGAGCAAAACCAGTAAGATGTCTAGATATATATAGAGAGAGATTTACTTCAAGAAAATGGCTCACACAAGTGTGGGGCTGACAAGTCCCAAATCCATAGGTCAGGCAGGGGGTTGGATACTGCTGCCGGCTCAACAGGATTGCAGGGGCTGGCAAATCCAAAATCTACAAGTCAGGCAACAGGCTGGAGACTTCTGCAGGCTTATGTCCCAGGATCCAGAGGTCAGGCAATGAGAAGAGTACAGGGTTGAGAGAGAGTTCTGCCAGAAGGCAGACCATACACCCAAGGAAATTCCCTTTCAACTGTTTGTTTGGTCCCATAAGATCACATCATGGATGGTGATTGTATTACATTACATTACATTACATTACATTACAGCCAGTCCAGTCTCTGGACAAACCACTGAGAAGCAATCAAGTTGGTACATAAAATTAACCATCACAGTCCTTAAGACAGTAAGGGGCTTGATGGGTTCAGGGCCAGTAGGGAGGCAGGGCTGATGTGGAGTAAGCCAAGGGGAGAACAGAGGGAGGTGAAGTTGGAAGTGGTCTGTGGTCCCATCAGAAGGGTGGATTTTATTCCAAGTGAACTGAGAAACTGTTGGAGTGTTTAAGCAGTGGGGTGTCATGATCTGACTTACTCTCCGGAAGTATCTCTCTGGCCACTATGGGGAGGATGGACTGTGGGGGTCGAGGGTGGAGGAGGCACTGTGGCCAGTGAGGAGACTATGGTGGTGCCTGAAAAGAGGAGGTGACAGTTTGGACAGGGAGTCTGGGTGGGCAGTCAGAAGTGGTCAGAGGAGCATAGATCATGGAGGTGGATCAATGGGACACTCCCATGGAGATGGATGGAGGGGGTGAGGAAGGAGGGGATCTGGGTGTGCGGCCTGAGCAAACTGGCGGGGGGGATGAGGAACCCATTTACCAGGATGGGATGGCCTGGTGTGGGGGCAGAATTGCTGTTGGGGTTGAGGGGAAGATTGGTAGAAAGCAGTAGTTCTGCTGAGACCATAATATGTTCGAGATACTATTAGATCTTCAACGGTGACATTGATTGGATAGTTGGCTCCACATATCTGGAGTTGAAGGGAGAGGTTCAAGCTGAAGCTGTGAATTTGAGACACTTAAGTATGTTGAAAGGACTTTAAGTCAACACATACACACATGCACATTCATGTACAAAAATATAACAATACACATTTCCAATAGAACATATGTAAAATACTTAGCATAGTGCCTGGCACATGAGAATTATGCAAAAATGTTAGTTATTATTCTTTGACCCAAGATTAATTGAATCAAGTGATACATTAGTCTTCAAAAATCTCTTTAATCAATCTATATAGATGGTATAATCTATATAGATGTGTCTCTTTGTTACTCTGATGAAGCTGTGGTCTCGGTTGAGAAGTTGCAGAATGGCAGCACCCCTTGATACTGACTTCTGTCTCCAGTGTCCCAGTTCCCAGACCTTAGAGCTCCATAGCAGGCAGTGATGGGTAGTGCCTCCAGTCTGGGTGGACATCCCTGGAGAGGCTTCTAGGTCCCAAGGCTGCACACTGCCCAGCTAACTGTCCTCCCCAGCAAGCTGGCTCAGAGCTGGGGCTTCTGGGCAGAGGCAATGAGGCATCATTGAGGTCCTATCACAGCTTTGCCCAGGACCTGTTCAGCAGCACCTGTGATGGCTGGAGGTCCTGGTCAGCAGAACAGCCCCCACACACTGATGGCAGCAGGTCTCCTTCGATCTCCATGTCCCCCAATAGACGCAGTGCTGACCTTGAGGACCTTCAGTGTAAATAGCAGCTCATTCTGCCAAGTCTCAGGATGCATATTTTGATAGAGGCTGAAAATGGTCTGCTCATTCAGTCTCTTTTTGGGGGGCACAAGCTGTTTTAGAGCGTGGTGGTGAGACCACTGACGGGCACATCCTGGCCACGTCGTCAGATAGGCATGAGTGGCTGTGGCCTCTGTGCCTGTTTCCACATCTGCACAGAGCAGTCCTTGCCTGAGAAGCTGTCATTAGGGTAGAAAGTACTTTGAGAGATAATAGTGCTGAACACATCAAGGGTGAACCTTGAATATCTAGAATGTTCCTTGAACATTCCCTGGCTCACCCTCTGGAGAAGGAGACCCACAAACAGACAATACTGACAGGATGTGATCAGGGATACCAAGAGGGATAGAGTGAAGGATTCCAGAGGAAGTGGTGCTGCTGATGGTACCAGCACAAGGGGCATGGTGTGTGGGGAGAAGTGGGGCTTTCCCCATCTGAAGGGTGTGGACGTGGCAGGGCATGGGCAGGAGTCCAGGGAGCAGTGGGGCAAGTGTGGGACCTGGACCACCAAGCCAGGGGCTCAGGCTGAGCCCTGAGGGCAGTGGAGTGAAGGGTTCCAGGAGGCCAGTGGCAGGTCATCTGTGCTCATTAGCATCTGCTGTGACCATGGGAAAGGATGGCGCATGGATGGGGCGTGTTGGGCTGGAGAGTCGTCAACCAGGGCGTGTATAAGGCAGGAGCTGGGGGCTGGGCTGGGTGGGTCCTGGGAAAGGCTGCCATGCTCATGCCTCAGGTGCCATCTTTCCTGGCCAGGTGCATCTGATGAAGCCTGATGCCGTCCCCAAGGCATGCTGTGCGCCCACCAAGCTGAGTGCCACCTCTGTGCTCTACTACGACAGCAGCAACAATGTCATCCTACGCAAGCACCGCAACATGGTAGTCAAGGCCTGCGGCTGCCACTGAGGCCATTCCTGCCTGAACCTGCTGTAACCCTCCCACCCCACCCAGTCAGACCCCCCAGGGGACTTCTCACCTCTTTCTAGAGGTGGGAAATTCCCTAACTCCATGGCAGGGATGTCCCTCAGAGGTCAACATGTCCATGCCCCTACCTCCTTCATGCCAGGCTCTGTCCTCTCTAGGACTGTCCGTGCCCCCTTTCCCTCCCTGAGGTCTAGTATACAATGTCCTGCCTCCAACCCTGATGGTCAAGGAGGGCTCCACTCACCCTCCTGCCCCAGAGGCATGTGCTGGCAGGGCTCCCTGTGGTTGGTACAAAAGTCCTGTCTTAAGGACCTGTCCATGCCCATCACTGGCCCTTCTCAGGCTGTGGGATGAGCTGTGAGGCACCTCGAGATTGGCCCATCCAGGCTCTTCTCCATCCATCACAGGGTTTGCGTATATGTAGATGGGGTCAGGTCCACCCCCCTGCCTGCCCCTGCCCCCAGCTGCAACACTGGGCATTTCTGGAGAATAAAGAGCATAGACTTGCCCTCAGTGTTGTACATTTGTGGATCTACCTACAGTAAGCAGGTGGGCCAGGTCAAGAAAGAACTCAATGGACAATGTGAATCTGGCATTTGTCTTCCCATCTTCCTGCCTTGAGTCTGCCTCTACTGCTTCGGGAAGATGTTCAGTTCATGGACCTGTGGCCTCTGGAGAACCTTGGAGGGTTCCAGTTAATTCATCTCTTCCCCTTAACTATGTTAACCCATCGAGAACTGAGCCCTGTGGATGTTATGTGTTTGCTGAGCTGAGCATGGTGGTGGTACAGCACAAATGCCATCATTTCCCCTTCTCTTCTCTATGGCAGACATCAATAATCAATTTTGACATTTTCTCTCCTGGATCTGGACAGTCTATCAAAATGATCAGCACAGACCTCCAGGCAGCCATTACCAACGGATCAAAGTGGACACATGGAGTGAGAACAGCTTGCCATCTCCTACCATGCTGGACCACAAGCCATTCCACCCAAAGCCATGTATTTACACGCTGGGCAGCCGGTGACCAGGCAGAGGGTGAGGGCAGGGGCTTCTCAGCTCCTGCGTGTGTCAGGTGTCAAGAATTGTCAAAAACAGGGTGGTCACCAAAGTCTATGTCACCCTTTGCGCCCAGGAGCCCTGTCCTGGTTCTCAGGACCTTCAAGGCAAAAAGGCCTGTCTCAGGGGAGTGACAGGCAGTAATTAAGTTGAGCTGGGTGGGGAGGTTTGTCTCGGACTCCACTGTTCCCGGAAACCACTGCTCTCCTTGGAGCAGCTGCTGGGAGTTGGAGTGTTTATTTGATTTCTGACTTGCTAAGCCTGTTATTAACCTGCTGGCACAGACAGAGTCCAGCTGCACGCACCCTGAAATACCATCATTAAAACCAGCCATGTCCACAGGCCCAACCCAGCCGAGGTGGAGCAATCATGTGCCCAGGGATGCTCATTTCTGATGAGGGGCCTCTGAGACAGCAGGTCTGGCAGGGGTGGGGCTGAAGGGGCATGCTGTGGGACAGCAGCCTCACCACCCAGAGCTGGGAGACCCACCCCTGTACACAGAGGGTAGGCTCGACTCTCTGTAAGGTGGTAAGTTCCCCATCATCACAGGGACCTATGCTCTGGCTTGGATATAGGAGGCCTGACATGTAGGTGGCTTCTGCATCTGGGCCTCAGTTTTTCATTTATAACAGAAAGCAGTCGACTGAGACCTAGCCTCACAACCCTGAACAGACTCAGTTGGACATCATGGCTCAGGATTAGCACATAACATGGAATCTATTTGCCATTCTAGCACTTACCTAACAGTTCTCTCTTTCTAACATCAAATAAATTACAGTTATCCATTGTAAATTGCCAAGTATTTTGAAAACTAAATTTCTACTTGACCTGGTGTCTTTAGCACCCAGCCAAAGACCTGAACAGTTGGGTGTCTGTCAAATTGACCAAAGGTTTGTAGATCAGTACACCTTAGTATCAAGCTGTGCCCAGCAGGAATGAGTAGGAATTGCAATCCTCCTTTTTCATGCAGAACAGCTGAAAAACAGTAAGTCATCAGCTACTTGCCCAGCAGCTAGTTTTCCAATAGCTTTTGGCTCCAGGTGGTCACCAAATGGAATCAAATAGAAAAAGCCTTTGAGCCATAAAACAATTGTGGACACAGAGCCCATGCATTTTATTCCACAAGAGTTATGTTTGCTGAGCTACGTTTGGTGGCTGGAGTGGATGGCCCAGGCTAGCAAGTGTCATTATTTCCCTCTCCTTTGCTCAGGGAATGATTTGTTCATCTGGTTGCACCAGACTAGAAGGATAAACAAAGGGTCGGGGGTCAGTTCAGATCCATTGACAGCAATGAGTAATCAGTGACGGTAGTAAAAAAAAAAAAAAAAAAAAGCTCAGAAGCAATGCACAGCAGTCCTGGTATTTACAGTGCAACACCAAGTCTATTGGCGTTTTAGTGTTCACACTGTCTTCTAACCAGGAGCCCTTGAGTGACACAAGTAGTTAAGTGCTGGGCTACTAACCAAAAGGCTGGTGATTTGAACCAACCCAGAGGCACTTTGAAAGAAAGGTCTGGAGATCTACTTCCAAAAGAAAACTCAATGGAGCATAGTTCTATTCTGGCATACATGGGGCCATCACAAGTCAGAATTGACTCAATATCAATTGACAACTAAGATAGGGAAGTACCACATGCTAGAAAAACTTCTCTAAGAAATAGGAAAGGGGGCAAATGGGAGAGTAGTAAGAATACAGATTTTTGGAGGCAAATGATTTGAATCCTGGTTCTACTTCTTTCTCTGTAGAGTAAGATATTGATTCTTTCTTCCCAAAACTATTGTGAAGATTAGGTATGTACACAGTGCCATTTAGCACAATAAATGGCATGTAAATGCTTAACAGTTGGCACCTGTTGGCATTTTATTACAAACAAATTTGCTAATTTTGAACCATCTCTGTGCTGTCCCATTAAACCACCTCCCTGACTGTGTTCTGTAGGTGATGGTGTATTTCTTTCAGAGCTGTGTTCTTCTCTGAAAACTCTACACACAAGTATCTCTGAGAGGAAGGGGTCAGGAGCTGTATTGTCATCTGCTTAAAAGGCCTGAGGAATATACCTTGGTTGTAGTGGTCAGTGAAACTCTGCCCTGTGGTCTCAGACATGCTGGGATCCCACAAGATATGTCCTGCTGAGAGAGTGCAGCACCCACTGATGTCTCTGATGGCAGTTTGAACTGGGGAATTGTCCATCCAGGGTTTTGCTCCTTATGGTTGGCCTTGTGCAATCACTTGACTCACCTTTTAAAAAAATATGTTTTTTATCTATTACAAAAATCATGCAGTTTTGAGGAAATTTAGGAAAACACACACACAAAAAAAATAAAATACAATTCAAATCACCATAGTCATACTACTAAGAAAGAAAAAAAAAAAAAGTCACTGCCGTTGAGTTGGATTCTACTCATAGTGACCCCTCTTTGGGTTTCCAAAGCAGTATCACTATGGAAGCAGATTGCCCAATCTTCCTTTCAAGGAGTAGCTAGTGGGTTTGAACCACCAGCCTTACTAAGATACACACTATTAATATATTGATGACTTTATTTCTAGGCTTTTTTTTTCCTTAAAATACAAGCAGTCTCCAAGTTACAAATGAGATCCATTCCTAAGTGTGTCTCTCAGTCAGATTTGTAGGTAAGTAGGATCAAGTGCATAAGGTTCTTATTTAGCCTTACTTTAGTGCAATGGATTGAAAAGCTTCACCTGCAGCAAGTGAAGCTAATTGTGATGAAGAATTTGTTGCAAGTAGGGGTTGGTTCAGCCGTTTCAAAGTGAGAGCAAATTTATATAACATTAAAGGGCAAGTACAAGTTGTTTGTAAGTCAGATATTCATAACCTGGGGACTTACTGTATAGATAAAAATATCTGTTTGCACATTATCGATATACCATATAAATTGCTTGTGACATGCTTTTACCTTATACAGTAAAAATTTGCTATTAAATATTTTTTGAAAATATGGCTCTCTAGTTTGAAGGCTGGCAGTTCAAACCTACCAGCCACTCCTCAGAAGGAATGTTGGGCAATCTACTTCTGTAGTGATACTGCCTGGGAAACCCAAGGAGGGGTTGCTGTGAGTCGGGTCCAACTCGGCACATAACAACAACAAGTTTCCCATCACTTGAGGTCTATGAGACTCAGTTTTCTCCACTAAAAACAGGTCCCACAGTTCCTTCCTCGATGTGAGGCTGCATGACTATGACAAATGGTGGTACCCCTGGAGGCAATATTCTGGTAAAGACAGGAAACACCAGTGTAATCACAGAACACAGCCATAGATAATATGTAAACAAATGGATGAGGCTTGTTCCAAACCCCTTTATTCACAAAAACAGGCAGCAGGCTGGATTTGGCCCATGGCTGTAGTTTGCCTGCCTCTTCTGTCTACTGACAAATGAGTACCTGACACAGAGAAGGCACTTTGAGTTATAAAAATAACCACAGAATGAATGAACAAATAAAACAAGTAATCATGGAGGCTCATAAGGAAGTAAGACTGTAAGACTGGCCAACACGAATGTAGGAGATCCTGGATAGAGAGGGAGAACAATGTGGAACAGAATTCAACATCATTAAAAAAAAAAAAGAACAGGTTTGCTGGTCTGATAGACCCTGGTAGAACCCCTGAGATTATGGCCCCTAGCTGCCCTTCAGGTCTGGAATCGAACCCACTCCTGTGGCTGCCAGCTAAACAGAAAGCAGGTATATTTACATTGGGTAGATATATTCCTTGAAGAGATCAATCATGGGAGAACAGAAGGGCTGTGCATGCACAGGGACACAGCTCAGGGCAAGAGTGCATGGGAGGGAAAGACACAGGGAAGAGATGGCTATGGTGAGGAAGTGGGAGGGGAGCTGTTGCCTTGTGGGAAATTACAGTCAATATCATGAGACAAAGTGTATGTGAACTGCTGTATGGAAGATGA